TGAATACTTGTAACGGGTCACCTCCCACAACGTATAGCCCACTAGACTATAGCGTATTGCGTTACCCATACAATGCATGATTAAAATGTGCGCGCAGTTTGAGTTTCAACACAAAGAAAGCTATTATCGACTATTGTGTGGAATTACAGGCTCGCAGCTAACGGTGCGTACACACTCGTTGAGGAATAATATTTATTTAAATGATTTGTTTGTTTATAGTTAAACGAGTGGTTTCTCTAGATATCTGGTTAGTAATTTTCTCCGGTAGCTATGAGTACTTAGTCCCTGTAATTTTTGTGTTTGAAATTTTATTATTCTTACTAATATTATGAATGTGAAAGTTTAGATGGATTTGTAAGAGTTTTTCGTCCACACGAATTAATGGATCTCGATAAAATTGGGCATAGATGTAGAACAGTGCTTTTAATTTTTTTAGTTCCATGACGGAGTCGCAGAAGAAAGCTAGTAACACGTTTCTTTATGTTTTTGTCTTAGTAGTATTTTCTAAATGACATAAAGGTCTTTTTTATATTTTAGTTTGTAGACAAATATAAAAGGTTTCAATTATTTATTGTAATTGGACCTTTATTCATAGTGTCTGCGATCTGAATAACATAACAATAGAAGAGCGCATCGTGAACTGGCTTCGAGACCTGTTAAGCTCGAGACCTAGGATACACTGGCCATTGTCTGTTATTGATCTTTATGTATTCTGTCGCCCTTGTTCGGAAACTCTTTGATTTATTAGAAATCTATTAAGCCTGCTACACACGCCCAGATAAAATCAAACTGTTCCGATAAAAATGAGCGTGTGTAGCGGGCTTTAAACTTTATTGTTCCATAATCAAAACTCTACAGATTAAACACGTGTGTTTATTATTACGGTGAGCATAAGATATGTGGGAATTTTATGTTTATCTTGATACTAGTTAATGAGAAGTTATGTGAAGTCTTAAGTTGACTAGATAATAAAAAAATGTGGTCAAATATTATACAGATTTTCTAATTGTATCATTCTGTTATAAGTACAAGTGTTTCCAATATAGTTGGGAAAGTTTTGCTACGATGTGCTACGCGGCTCTACGCGGCCATTTTAGGTGGAAGAGGGTAGAAGGGAGCGGAAGTCCTGTGGGAAATCATCGGGAAATGTTGCCACGTGAGCGACCAAGTGTCGTTAGATGTGTTTTATTGTCTTTACAAGTTGTCTATTCCACGTGCCTCGTGTAGACAACTTTATTGATTGCTCTTTTAATGCTGATTACTCCTGTATCTTTTGGGAATAACAGAACACTGGTAAACGTAAGGGGTAGACAGAGTATAAATTGCCTTAATTTTTTCTTAGTTAGCCTAAGTTTTTTTCTTATTAATGTTATAAATACGAAAGTTTAGATGGGTGGATGGATGTATGGATGTTTGTTAGAGTTTGTAGCCTAAACGACTGAACGGTGTTTGATGAACTTTGGCATGGATGCAGAGGATAGTCTGGGAGAATACATAGGCTACTTGTATTTGTTTTTTTATACCGCGCGGACGGAGTCGCGGGCGAAAGCTAGTTTATAATAAATTTCAAGTTATTATAATTCTCTTTTGATTGTATTAATAAGTTTAGATGGTTATTTAAATACAGATATTTTTTATATTAAACAATTGCATGTCATGATTTTCGTTTTCCTGTATGAATCAATCTTGTTGGATATAAGTTTGTAGTCCTTCTGATAATTGTAGATAACATGAGTAAATAAATAGACAATATTCCGTATATATAACCAATAACATTTATTACATCACAGGAGTAGGGTACATAAAAACACAATTCAAGATCTTTCGCGAATAAGAAACGATATTTTTATCCGACCATAAATAATTCTCGTAACATTGTTTATGGTCTGATAAAAGTTTGTTATCAATTGACATTCCCTTACAAATATAAACCTATAAAATAAAATAATTATTACTTTATAAAGAGCGTAAAATATTAATTGATTCAAACGGAATAGTCTTCAGTCATAATTTAATTTAATTTCCAAAATAAACCAGATTTTTTTTGTTATAGTTTATATTCAAGGTTATTTATATAAAAAAACATATAACAAATGAAAAATAGCTTATAATAAATATATAGAATAAAGTAGGCCGAGCGAATTATTTTCTCATGTTTACAAAAATCGCGTTCAGTTGTAATAAATTAACACGAACGAATCGAAAAACATAATATTCATCTTACGGGCAAAATTAAACAATATTCACAGGTTTTATAGTTAATAAAAATCCACTATATTTTATATTTACGTTCAGACAATATTATAATTTTAGAAATGTATTTTAACGCACTATTTTCTTGTTATGTTTTTTAAGTAACGGAACACGAGAGAGCGTTTGAAAAGCGCGCCAAAACACATTTCTGTCAAAGATTACGAAATCTATAGATATGCATAACTAGAAACAGGTTAATATTTCATTCTACAACTAAATATACTTTTTACAATCCGTAGTACATTCAAGCGAAATTTCTAAGTCATTTTTAGTATTTTAAACTAAATGTATGTTTAATTTCGTTTTAAATGTGCATCGATATAACCGCCATTTTGAATTAGCACTGATTAGTCAGGAATAAATCTAGAAGTATTTTTGAACAATGATCAATACAATAACCATCAACAATTTTGATCCATTATTTTGTCTATGGTAATAGACTTAATATAGTAAATTGTTCAAACTCAGTTTGATTTGAGCTATTGTACGGCTAACGGTTATCTATGGGATCGCATAAATAATTTTGACAGCACAATTTTGAATGATCATTCAAGTGTACCTCTCTATATTGTTGCGTCTACAAAATTGTATAAAACCATAAATTGATTTATTGTAAGTATTCATAAGTCAATTGAAATTATTAAAGACGCAAATTTAAAACGAAATTCACTAAGCTTATTAATGCTAATAATACTGTACACACCTCCATTAGTTTAACGGATGTTCAAATGATTACTTAGCCACAGGTTTGCCGATAACTGCCCCTCCAATGTACCGTCACCATCGGCAAAGCTACCGTGCGAGTACTTAAACTCTATTACTGACAGTAGACTCTATAAAAGGCGCTCTAAAACGTATAAGAGCTTTGGCAAGAGAATTTTTAAATTGAAATTTGTATCAACTTAATAATTCTATCAACTATTTTATAAATAAATGTAATCCTTACAGCATACGTATATTTAAATGAGGTACGTTGAACCACTGACTAAATATTTGCGGCGTTGGATATTTATTTATTTTTTTGAAAAAATGACCTATTTTATATTATGTACAATCATGGGCTTAATAAAACATTTGTCAAGAATACAAAAAATGTGGTAACACTAATTCGACAGCACACTAGCGCCATTTTAAACAAACATTTGAGTTTGTGTTATTTTTCTGGTATTGAAATAGTAAGTACAGAAAAATAAGTTATCAGTGAAATGTTTCTACGAAAGAAAACGAATACATACGAATATGTTTTGGGAAAACGATTTCAGTAAGTAATTGTTCAAAGTCGTCTCTCGGGCATCGTAAGAGCGGAACATAATCAGCACATTAGAGAGAGCCAAATTATCTTTGGGAATTAGTCTATGTTGTAAAACATTTTATATTACACTTGTTACTACTAATCCGTCCCGACTTTCCCTGGCAGGCAAATATAATTCTCAGGTCTTTACTGTCATCCATACATTTCTCGATGATGTCCGGTGTATTTCAGTGTCTATGTTATTTAGTGAGCTTTCTAAGGTAAACCTATTTTTGAAATTGCACCGATAATTTCCGAGCCTAAACAGTGCAAAAGACATCTTCATTATTAGTTGGTTAGGATAGATTTCTTTCAATTTTAGACTTCAAAGATTTCAAGAAGCGTTTTATCAAAATATTTTAGATGATTTTGCTTTATGTTCTATTGTCAAAAACTTAATTAATTTAATGAAACGACAATATTTAGTGTCTATTTTTATAAGATGTGTATTTTCAGTAAATATTTTTGACAAATGTTTTGCGATAAAGCCAATTGTACTTACAATATGTGTGTAATAATCTAACAATTATACAAAATGCTTTAAATGGAACAAAACTTAATCTAGTTTAATATTGATAGGTTAATAAATAATATTTTTATATACATTCGTCAACAAAGTCCGTAATTATTGTTTTGAATATTAACATATGACCGTATTGACGAACATATATGATCACTAACAAAATCCTAGGAAGGAAAAATTAAGTCACGAGTTTTGTTTTTTGGCATTTTAAACGTTTAAAGAAAACAATCCGAGTTTAATTAAGATTTTTTTAATCTACATTCATAACTGTCAGACATAATCGAACTGTCATTTAAAATTTAATTTCGTTTAATAGTTAAGTTTTCCATCGACACACTAAAGTTATTCTTACACTCGACTAGGTTAACATTTAACTGGATTAAGTAATGAGAAATCTAAGTTAGCGTATGGCAGTAACATTCGATACTTATCAATTCACAGTTTGCACGGAATATAGACGGACAAATTCAAATAAGACATCGTTAGATTGGTTTCCTTGGCGGCGCCACCGTCGCGAGATGGCGGCGCCACTGTCGCAAGATGGCGGCGCCACTATCGCAAGATGGCGGCGAGCGACGCGCGGCAGCTGTCAGTTAGTGACAGTTGACGGCGCGCCGCTGCAGCCGGCGGATGCGCCTGTGCCAGTCGTCGCGCCACTCCAACAGGAGGGTTCTCTCTCCGACCGTGAGGCCGGCCATGCCAGATGACGCTCCCTCTTTTTCCACTCCTAGGATTAGGTAGGACCTGTCCAGAAACATACAGTTTAGACTGAATCTATACTTCTACACTGATATAATAAAATGTA